TGGACACAGGCCTAGCCACACCCAGACTAAGACTCCTATGTGACTCAAGCTCTAGCGGTCCAGTGCCTCCACTAGCATGGACCAGGGATGTAGTTTCTTAGAGCCTCCGAGCCATTTGTCAAAGAAAGGCTCTGCTCAGCCTCCCTGCCACCACAAGCCCCAGTGGACTTGGGCCCATCATTTAGACAATGAGGCAACATGCTTGTGGGGATCACTAACCTCCTACTGCTTAGAGAAAAGATACCAGCTGGAACTGATCTTAATTCCCCATCCCCCAAAGACTAGCCTTTCCTACAAGCTTTCAAAAGAGGGAGGCAGCCAACAGTTCTACCCAGATATGATGCCTGTGAACCACATCAACAACCAGGATAGCACAAAAACCCTACAGGTGCAGGAGTGGCACACATACCTTGGCGGTGACCAACTAGTCTCTAATTGGACTTAAGGCTGATTCAATAAGAGGGATACCACGCCTATCAATGGAAACCTAGGTTACCTAACCAGTGCTAGTGACTTTGTAGTTATTGGAGGAGAATCTACATCACGATTTTACTAAACCAACACAGCCACTTAGGAACATTCTTTTGTCTTTGTACTCACAGTAAGTCTTCACCTCTCATCAAGGAATCTCTGTGCAAACGATGGAGCTCACACTACAGAAAGCCACAACCAGGCCATATGGAGACATGGGGAGTACAGTGCGAATGGATGCATCTTTAAACCTTCCCACACCCAGTGCTCAGGGAGCCCTGTGGAGGAGGATGTGAAAAGATTGCAGGAGTCAGAGGATTAAGGACTTTGCTGTAAGACTGTGTCTTCTAGTAACCTCAGAAGCTATACTTGTAAAGCCTCACCAAGATGACCACCCAAACGTGAGCTGAACAAGGAGGACACCAACAGATGTGACAAAGTAAATGGGGACAAGCCCATGAGGTCTCAAGCCCACACAAAGAACTAAAGGCAGCTGAGTAAAGCTAAGAGCTGGAGAATAGTCCTCCCCAGGGAAGAGCACACCAATTGGTTCTCCAGTGCCAAATGGTCAGTCCTGAAAACATACAAAAAAGTAACACTACACAGACTAGGCAGGTTATATTTTGGAATACACACGTATATGCAAATACATATATAGATTCAGTAACAATTGATGTAAAGAAGACACCATGAATTTGAAGAAGAGCAGGAAGAGATGGAGAGTTTGGAAGGAGGAAAGAGAAAAGAGAAATACTATGATTAAAATACACTCTCAAAACTAAACAACAAAAAATACTATGGGCTGTTGATACCATCACCTTACCTAGCCCCTTCATGCAACCTAAGTAGCTTTAAATTGTCCTAAGAGAAGAGCCAGGAGGAAGGCAAGAACGTAAGAAAATAAATTTAAAAGTAAAGTGAGATTGTCATAAAAACAGATTATGTTATGGAGAGCTGCAAAACAGTGGTAGATTAAACATAATCAAGAGGTGACACAAAAGAGAAAATACTTGTCAAATGCCAATAATTATATGTGTAGGTAGGTTTTTTTTATTTGTTTGTTTGTTTTGTTTTGTTTTTTTCTCAATCCCGTGCCCCAGGTGAACTCTCCAGGCTAAGTCCACCAACCAGACTGAGTCAATGGATGGAAGCAACTAGCCTTGCCTGCCAGATGCCTGAAGCCAGGCTCCCTTAGAAAGCAGCAGCAGGTCTTTCTCCAGATCCTTCCCTTTGCATTTGCTAACAGGTGGCAAGGGACAGTACCCAGCTGGCTGCAAAGACATGGCCAGGGCAACAGTATGCCTTCAGAGTGCCAAGCCAGTACCAATGCCAAGATGAGGCCAGCATCTCTACTAACAGCACAGGACAATGACAGTGTCAAGAATGTATGACTTCAAAGTAGATTCCTATACAAAACCAACTGAATACAGAGACCCGAATGTTGACTTATTATATACATAAATGCTAGCATAAGCTTGGAAACCATCCTCAGCTTCCAGGTTATTCCTACTTAGCTCCTGCAAAGCCATATATGCAAACTCAGAACTCAGCATGTTTTCTGTAATATCAACATTAGCCCAAGACAGGACTGCAGTTAGTTTTTCCTAAAGCCAAGCAAGAGTCCTACCTTGTTCACCCCTAACAAAGCCCAACGTTCACAAGGACTATTCTCATTAAAACCCTGTGATGCTGACTTCAGCTGCTTACTGCTGTCGCGGTTATAACAGTTAAGCAGTTACAGCGAAGTCTTGATTAACTAGAATCCTGAGAGAATTCTGCCAGGCATCCACACAGCAAATGCTTACTTAGTAGCTACCATGGGTTCTACAGCCTCCTGTGGATTGAAGATGCTAAAAAAGAACAATACATCCCCCCTTCCCACACTCTCAAGTAGCTCTTGGCTCCTTAGGGCAGGCATACAAGCAAATCAGCTCAAAGCAGTACACAAAATTCTACAGCTGGAGAAGACACAGGGGCAACTTGAGTCCAGCCAGATGTGAGTTTGGGAAAAGGTTTCTGGGAGTGGTGAAACCGGTTCTGAGCCACTGTAAAGGTAAATAGCTAGGAAAGACATAGGAAGCAAGTTGGGAGAGATGATTGATTTATACATTTCCTGTATTTTATCTTTAGGACAGAGGGGAGAAAGATACTCACTTCATGGGCCTGGTTAACATACATGAGAAAGAGAACACACTAGATTGTGAGCCCATGGTCAACTTAATTTCTTGCTCCCCTCCTGCCATTAGCCACAGGCTAGCACAGAATAATGGACACTTTAATGTCTGAATTTTAAACCCTTGCAAAATCCTGAATCATCAATGAAGATTCAGCTGTGTTCCCTTGCCCGAGCTCCTCCTGAACTTGAGGACGGATGTAAAATGCATCTATTTAGTAAGCTTGCCTGAGTAATAGGAGCTCAAATACAGCCCAAGAGGAGTTCTCCTTTAAAGCATCAGATCCACATCAGAAGCCACAAATCCCAGCACCAACCCAACCCACCTCACATGTTCCTAACACTGTGCCTCCTATCAGATCCTATTAGGTTCTGATCAGATCCTATTAGGATTTCCTACGTAAGCTACAAAAACAGATTACCAACAGTCCTGTGTTACCAATGGGCAGTGAGTGCCCAGTGATGCTCAGTAAAAGATCCGGGGAGTCAGAATTGGGATCTGAGGCTATAGGCTTGGCACTTACAAACCTGTTTCTCAGAGATAAGCAATTCTACAGGAGTAACACTGTAACAAAATAACACTGTAGCTACATAGGCTTTAGCTAGTGTCTCTGAAAACTGCGCAAGGCAAGGCTGCAGGTGCCCACAGTTGGAAAAGGTGGGAGGAGAAGAAGGAACGGCAAGCTTCAATGGTACCCCAGGTTCCAAAGTCATCATATACACACAGAACACGTCTTTATGCAAAAGGACATGGGAGCTGCACTCAGATGTGTGCGGCCTTTTAAAAACTACATATACTCTATCACTTATTTAACTTCAATTTGAACAAAGATGCTAGAGACCAAGGGACGAATGCAAGTTTAGTCTAATTTCACCATGAAAGAACAATGAAGGTTAAGTTTTGGGTCAGATGCATCCCAACACCTGCAGCTACAGGGGGATCAAAGGTTTGGCCAATCGGAATTCAAGTCCCTGGCAAAGTGCTTCATCCTTCTTCCAGCTGCTGCCTGAGCTTTCAGGGATGCAGTCTTTTCAAGGCTTTTGTAACCTGGAAGAAACCTGTTGCACAAATCTGAGGCTCTGTGTGGACGCCCCCACCTGGTGGCCAAATCAGGGAAAGCGCTTCCAACCATAAAAGAGAGATGGGTACTTAGCAAACAGAAGACATTTTCCAACCTCTTCCCCTCTTTGTCAGTCAAGGGTCAACTGGAAGGAAACAGATTGCCTAAAATAGGAAGGGTCCAGGGTCAAGGTTATAGGCAACTTCCTGCCTAAACCCTGACAGCCATACAGCTCCTAAGCCAAAGCTAGGGTAGCAAGAAGCGCCCTGCCACATCCCAGGTGTTCTGACAGTCTGAATTCCGGTCCTAGGTGGGGAATCCCTCAGCTAGAATCCTCTCTTCCTCCTTAAATACAGGTGTATTTTCCAGCCCCGAATCGGTACATCTGCAGTTCCATTTTCCTTGTGGCCTGGCATTTTCCTCCTGTCTAGCATGGAGATTATTTCTAAAGGAGTCCCTGGGGACAAACTTCCCACCAGGACTCTCAGGTGCCCAATGCAGTGGTCCAGCCAAGCTGATAAGTGGGCAACCATTGAAGCTACGGAGATAGCAGAACCTAAACTATGGGATGTTGAACCCCGAAACCATAGGGATGTTCCAGCCTTAAACAGCCTCATCCCACCTCTGACTCTGCTAAACCCCAACCCCTTGGACTAAGGTTGGAAATCCCGCCCCTCTCCTATTGGATTCCTTTTCCTAACAAAACACAAAGACCTGCATTTTGGCCTGTTCAAGTCCCCAGTTAGAGCAAAACCGAGTCCTTTTTGACATCAGCCTTGAGCCCTAAGAAGGGCAGCACACTCATGAAAACACGCGCGTACACACACATACACACACACCACTATGGGCAGTGTGCACACTACAGTCCTCAACTCTGGGATATGTCATCTAAATTGAGTGACGATCGCAAGAGAAGCAAGCTAATAATCCCAAGAAGAAATGGTGCTTATGGCACCATTTTTGTCTTACTCAACTGCTACATTCATTAGAAAAATCATCTAATTCTTTTAAGCTTCCGTGTCAGCATCCCAGAAGGTACAACGCGCATCCGCGCGCACTCGCCAGTCCAAATCTCCAAGTCAGCTCGGGAAGCACGTTTGGTTCATTTAAACCAAGGAGCTGCTTGCTCTCAGTCACACAGCCAAAAACCCTGCTGGTGCCCGGCGCCTACCCCCAACCCAAGCCAGAGAGTGCTTCTGAGTGGCCAAACCACAAACACTTCCTCAGCTCCAGCCCTGGCCCCGAACCCCAAGGTGCACAACCGCCAAGGGGCGCCTCGAGCGGTGGGTACTCACACGAGCGCGTGGTAGAGCAGCGCCCAGCCCCGCGGTCTCTCCAGGGCGTCGTAGATCAAAGTTTGGATGCGCCTGTACTTGGCGTTGTTCCTCTTGACTGGGCGGCTCAGGGGGGTCTTGGCCAGGAGCCCGATGCCCTGCGGGGTCCTCCGCTGCCCCTCTTCGCGGCCACCGCCCTCCAGCAGCAGGGTCCCGTCTTTGTCGGCCCCGGCCCCTAGCGCCAAGGTGACTTGCTCCACGTCTCCTGGCGCCAGCCCGACTTTCCGCTCCTCGTCGCCAGCCACAGCCGCGTCCCCTCCGGCAGGGTTAGCTGCCCCGCCGCCTCCGCCGCCCCCTTCGCCGCCGCCGTCGGCGGCCGCCCCCGCCGCCCTGCGAGCCTTGAGCCCCATCTGCCTCGCCCCCACTGGGCGCTTCGCCTTCTCCGCTGCTGCTGTGGGAAGAAGGGGCGCTTGGGGTGTGTGGACGAGGCGGCGGCGGAGGCTGCAAACCCGGGAACTCCAATGCCATGATCCGCGCGCCCCTCCCCGCCCACCCCCCCAAAAGCAGGCAAAGGCGGGCCTCCCGGGGGGTAGGGGAGGTCGGAAATGGAGTTAAGGGGTCACATCCCGAGCGGGTCCGCCGCGGGACCCCGAGGGGCGCGGGGAGCCGGGATCCGCCGGGAGCCCGGCGAGGGCACGGGAGGCTGGCGCTGTGGCACTAGGACGCGCGGCGGCGGGAGCCTGGCACCGAAGCTCCCGGGAGGCGGCGGCGGCGACGGCACCCGGGCCGGCGAGCCCGAGACAGCATCGCAGTTTATTTACAAGCCCTGTGCCAGCCGCCCTCCCGCCCGCCCGCCTGGCACACGCGCCGCCGCCTCCTCCCTCCTCCCCGCTCCCGCCCGCGCCCAGCCCGCCGCTCCAGCCCTAGCCCCGCTGCAGCGGCGGTAGCAGCAGCAGAAGCAGGCGCGCCTGGGCGGAGCGCTCACCACCCGCAGCGCTCTCTGGTTCCCTCCCTCCTTCGCAGGGGTGGGGCTCCAACGTTCCCGCCCCAGGGTTGCGGGAGGCCCAGGCAGTGCCTCGCCTCTCCCCGCAGCCCCCTACCCAAGATAACCTTGGGGACCCGCATCGCCCGAGCTGAGCCCTCTACAGTTTGCTTCTGCTAGGTCGTGAATGCTGCGGCGTTGGCGCAGGAGCTCCCCAAACCAAGTGGGCGTAGGGATTTCCCCCTGGGCAAGAGAAGAAAATAAAAGGGGGTGGGTAGAGACTGACAGCAGCTTTCTGTTCAGCCTCCACCCTCCTCTACATCCTCTGCTTGTCTTTGGAGGTAAAATCCACGTTGCTGGGCTAGGCAAGCAATGGCTCAGTGGTGGCAATGTTGGTGTCCAAGGCTCATGGAGGTTACTGCTTGGCAGTCCCTTGGACGTGTAGGTATGCAGAGAGCGGTGGAATGCGTGTAACACCGGGATCCGTACCCTAACTTCTGCTTGGCTCCTAACTCCTGCTGAAGGAGAGCCAGTCATGCCCTCTGACCCCATTAGGCTCCTTCCGAGAAATCAATGGACCTAAAGCAGTGACTTTGTCTTGTGACAGTGTACTGATCTCCGCCCAAGGTTTGAAGCCCTTGTGCTCATAAAACTTGAGTGACAGACAGAAGGCCAGAAGGAAAAGCAAATGTGAGTCCAATTATTTCTAGTGTAGAAACAGAGTCAGAGGAGGCAACGAGTCTGTGATTTGGAGAGTTGGTCCTGAAGACCCCGCTGAGGAGGGGACATTTTAAAATGAGACACAAGTGAGAGCAACTATGACAGTGTCCAGAAGAGCCTTTTAGACAGCAATTTGGAAGAGAAGCATTCGTGTGCTGAGGGCAGAGGAAGCAATCTGGTCAGTCATCGGCAGCACTGGCAGAGGGCAAGCGCCCCATCATCCACCACAGGCAGGTTAGGGGAGGCCCCCTGCTGCCCTTGGGTACCTGATTCCTGACTGCCAAGTCTCCTCTCATGACTGACAGGTGTGGTGGGGAGGACAGTAGAGCTTCAATGTAGGAAGTCAGTTTAGGAGGAAAAAAAAAAAAAAGCAGGCACCTGCTTGGGGAAGTTGGATGATCAGATCAGGAGCAAAAAGAAGCTGAAGGGCCCAGGCACGTGTGGAGTGGGGAAGAAGAGAAATCGGGGGAGGAGAGGAAAGGGAGGAGTCTCCAGGAGATTATCTAGGATAAAAGTGTTAACTGTGTGGTATTGGCATAGCAATAAGCTGCTTGTTGCCTCAGAATAAATTTCCTAGAAGCTGACTAGTATGCGAATGAGAACGAGACAGAAAACTGGAAAACTCAAGATAGGCAGCGGTGGCGCACGCCTTTAATCCCAGCGCTTGGGAGGCAGAGGCAGGTGGATTTCTGTGAGTTTGAGGCCAGCCTGGTCTACAGAGCAAGTTCCAGGACAGCCAAGGTTGTCCAGAGGAATCTTGTCTAGAAAAAAAAAAAAAAGAAAGAAAGAAAATTGGAAAATTTATGGCTATCCTCAATAGAGAAAGATACTTATTGGTTACCTGGGGTCAGCTGAGGAATTACAGCCATCAAGTTGGCCTGCAAGGCTATTTACAGGTCCACTGTGGGTGATGCCATCCCTATGCAGGTGAGCCTGTGGTGGATAAGAAAAATAACTGAAGGTAAACCTAGGAGCAGGCAAGTAAGCATAACTCCTTTTATGGTTTCCACATCAAGCTCCTGCTTTGACATCCCTCAATGATGTCCTGCAACCTGTAGTATGAAATAAACCCTTTCTTCCCCCAAATTGGTTTTTGTCAGTGTTTTAGCACAGCGATGGAAGCAAAACCAGAACAGAGACATGATACTTTATTACTCACCATTTATTAAGCATTGTAATCTTCAAATAATGGTACCTTGGACCTTCAGGTACATGGGGAGTTTTGGTGGAGACACAAAGACCATTTCCATGCCTCTCATAAAGGATAAAGCAAACTCAGTATCAAAGCCATGACTCTGATCCAATTAACCCAAGGGTAAAGGAACTGCCAGGTAATTGAGTCTGGGAAATTGACTTATTTCAATGGTTTTATAATCCAATGGAAAGAGCTATTCAGATTTCTAATAGAGGGTTTGGAAATGTCATAAAAAGCATGATGCACAGTAAGTACCCTTTGAGGACCATATAATCACAACACAGGGCCAACTCTAGCTAAAGGGAGTCATATGTCCTATATCCCTGAAGTCCCTGGGGTCGTGAGTTGCCAATGGGACCTTAAAGCGTCTACCCCCTTTCTCATAGCCACATGTGGAGCCAAACTTTCAACATTTGAATCCTGTAAGTACAAAACATTCCCACCATCCAACTAGGTCATCATTTTTTCTAATCTTTATCTCATATATAAAAGTGACATACAGGTGACAGAGAAGGTGCTTCCTTGAAATGAGCAGTAAGAGTGAGACCCAGGGGCTGACTCTGAGCCTCAGACATTTCCTCCAGAAGTTTGGCTTTGGGTTGCAAATATCTGATGGGCTGGACGTGGTTCCTATGACTATAATCAGATGAGCAGGGCAAAGGCTCATGTTCGTGGGCATACGTGATGGTGTTCCGGGCTGGCCTGTCACCTCCTTTCCAAAGAAGATCTTGTTATTGTTGCAGACCAATTTTAAATCTACTTTCATTGTTTGTTACACACACAAAAAAAAATGTAAATTAGTTCTGGTGGAAGTATAAAGCACAAATTGGGCCAAACTGCAATGACCACAATTTTGTCATCTTGTTATCCACAGGTACTGTTAATATTCCAGTGGTGATAACTGCCAAGGCCACCACAAAATGTAAATGACAAAGAGCAACACTTTGCCTGGAGGCGGAGCCCGTCACCAAGGTGAATACACTGGACCTTGCTATCAAGGGTAAGGATGGGAAAGAGCTACATCTCTCTGTAGAGAATGGGGTCATCTGCCCACTACTCTCCTGCTAATGCCCCATCCATGCACTCAGAAATGTGCTTACCTCGGATAATGAGGAGTACTGAGAACTCAAGAACAATGGCAATGGGTCTAGGCAGTTTGGATGCTCACCTTACTAGACCTGGATGGAGGTGGGTGGTCCTTGGACTTCCCACAGGGCAGGGAACCCTGATTGCTCTTTGGGCTGACGAGGGAGGGGGGAGAGGAGTGGGGGGAGGGGGAGGGAAAGGGGAGGCGGTGGCGAGGAGGAGGCAGAAATCTGAAAGAAAGAAAGAAAGAAAGAAAGAAAGAAAGAAAGAAAGAAAGAAAGAAAGAAAGAAAGAAAGAAAGAAAGAAAGAAAGAAAGAAAGAAAGAAAGAAATGTGCTTACCTAGTCACCACCCAAGAACATCACACAAGGCCACGTCTCAACTGTGTTACTCCCCAAATGCTTGTTCTGTACCTGGGTATGAATCAGCTCCGAGAGGAACTTGGGAAACACAGACTTCCTTACAGCCATGGAGTGCGCCTCTTGCTTAAGGAAGACAAGGGCTGGCGGTGAAAATGAGTAACTATCCTCCCTAAACTCACATAGTTGGACACTTTCCCCCCACATGGTGGGGCTATTTAGGGAGGTTATGGTACTGGTAGGAGGTAGCACCTTATTTGAGGAAGTACATCCCTGGGGGAGGTCTTTGAGGGCTATAGCCTCACCCCACTTCCAGTCTTCTCCCTCCCTTCCCCTCCCTTCCCCTCCCTCCCTCCCTCCCTGCCTCCCTCCCTCCCCCCTCTCTCTTTCTCTCCTTCCTACATGTCTGCATGTGGATAAAAATGTGATCCTGCTTCCATGCCATGCCTTCCACACTATTATGAACTTTGGACACATAAGGCAAAAATATTCTTTTTAATTTTTTTCTGTAATTTGTTCTTGGTCATGGTTTTAATCACACTCATAGAAAAGTAACTGCTATATGGGGCAAGCTGCAAGTGTAAGTTTATTATTGATGCAGGACCAAAAGGAAATATGTTTGGAAAGAAAGGATTCCAAGACATACTTTTCTTTTTAACACTCAGTAGTTTTCCCAGACACTGATTTCCTGATCCCCTCCCCTTCTCCACGCCCTGCTGTCTTCTTTCCTCTCTGGGCCTCTCTCTACATTAGGGCAGAGCAAATCTTGCTTCCTCATTGTAATAATCTCCCTGAAAAAGCAAGAGAAGCTACCAAAAAGCATCCTCGAACTTGCCACTCTGCAGGGGATGGCAGCCTAAAGAATAACCCTAAGAGGGTCCCAGCTCTGTGACAATTCACTGGACTCAATCTTGCCTTAGTTTCCTCATCTGTGCAGTGGGACAACAATCTATCCACCATATTCATCCTTGGTTCACTTCCCATCCCCAGGCTCAGCACCTGTGATAACAGCATCACTCCAAGGAATAGCATCATAAACAGCAGCTTAGGTCCAACACAAAGGGAGGG